TCTTGTGTTGCATCAAACGCGGCACATGAAGACGTGCACTGTCATGGAGAAGAACACCTTTCCAATTGACGAGTGAAGAGCGTTTCTGATGAAGAGCTTGATTTAAACGTTCCAGTTGCTGACTATAGATCTCTGCATTGACAGATCACTGTGGATTGAAGAGTTGGAACTGAACTACTCTTTTGATGTCCCACCAAATGCAAAACATCACTTTCTGAGGATGGAGTCCAAGTTTTGGGGTCAGTAGTGGTTTTTGTCTAGAACTGAGCCATTGTTTTTGGTCTTTAATATTGCATAGAGAATCTATTTTTTATCACCAGTGACAATTCTGACCAAAAATGGTTCACGTGTATTATGCACCAGAAGAGACGAAGCAATGTTCACATGTTGGAGACAATGAACAATGGAGAGTTTGTGAGGCACCTAAACACCTTTTTTATGAAGTTTTCTCATATTCCTTAGATGTTTACATATTGTTTCATAAGAGACATCTAATTTCAGGGCCATCTCAGTTGCCTTGGGTTAGACTCAACAAGCATCTCCAGAGCATCAATATCAATTCCAACATGTCAGCCCCTGTCATTACAATTTTTAAGGCTAAAGTCACCTGAACAAAATTTGCTGTACCATTGTTGAATCTTCAAAACATTCCATAAACTTCTTTGATAATATTTGTGGCAACAGAGGTTTGTTTTCCTTCTTGTATTCAAACAGCATTACATGCCGAAGGTGTGTCTCTTCATGTGCCACCACTATAAGTGATTAAAGTACACTAAACTTTACACATTATATAGGATACACTAACGTGACGTTTAGGCGGTTCATTTAAATATTATATGTGATGTACATTTTTTGGGGGTGGTTAATGAATGTGTTCCAAAACGTGAAAATAATCTCTTGATAACCTAATAATTAAGATATTATTTCTGGCAAAACTTTCCATAAATTTTTGAAGCCTTTACTGAGTCAGCCTGACTGAAAGGCAGTTTTCATGATAAGAAAAAAATACATCTTTCCAGCATCCCTTTTCATAACCTATAGAGTTCATGATAAGAAAAAAATACATCTTTCCAGCATCCCTTTTCATAACCTATAGAACTTACCACATGAATATCAAGTTTTTATTGCTAAAACTTTATATTTCATCTCTTAGTTTCTCTACTATAACACTAAGTGTAGAGAAATCATAAATATGAAAATACATTCATACCATTTTTCTTTCTGCACAGACTACAGTATTGATCAGAAAGCCCTTCACAGTTTCAATTGTTAATGTTTTCACATTTGTTTTCTTTCAATTTTATGGTTTTATAGCTGTACTTTGTTCCCACATGAGCAGAAAGCCTCACATCAAAATCAATAAATAACAGTAAAAGTCATTATCTATTTCAGGCACTGGTAACAGCACCATGCATGTGAAATATGATACCTCATACTGGTTAGCTCAAATTAGGAGAATTTTAAAGCTTTGTTAGGCTTAGTTGAGAAGTTTACAATTTTCACATTTTAGTTACTTTTGTTACAAAATATTTAACATTATATAAAAAACAAGGATATGTAGTACTCATTCATACATGAACCATTTGCAGAACCACAGCAGCATTAATATCACTTGCTTGTATTATGGGATTAACTGATGATACATCGTTAAGAAACAATGGAACCTCAACTTTCCGGCAGGTAGTGCCAATAGCAGGAGGGTCATTCTTACTCTTGACCTTTGACCCCCAAAGGGCCTTAACATTTGTAGGCTTTTTAGTTTTAGGCCTCTTAAATCTGGCTGCATCAAATGAATTCTCCATGCTCCTGGCTTTCTTTTATACTCTCTGACATCTAGCGACAAATCAATACATTACTGATAAGAAAACTAGAAATTAAAAGATCTCCTCAAACAGGGGCAATGCAGCCATCATGGTTTAGTTATTTATCTTAATATATTTTTATTGCATTCTTTCCGAAGTCCAATCTCACAAATGTGGGTGTCCAAAAAACAAAACAAATTAATGTAGCTTTCAAATATACATTTCAGAACACAAAACATATGTCAATCACTAGAATACAATGTCCCCAAAACTATTATTACTCATCAGGCTTTCTTTGTAAGCTAAAAGTAAGTTAAAAACATTCTGTCTATTAGTAGTTCGCTATAATCAGTGTGCTATAAACTTCGAAAGCTATAACTGTGATTTTTATAACACTTATCAATCGGAAAACTTAAGATATTTGACCAGGAATATTTATAAATTTAGAACGTTACATATCATTTGACTTCAGTAGATTCTCATCAAACATTACCTAATTTCAATGGTGGAAAACTCGGCGTGTGTGGATGGTGAATAATGAAGGACAAATCTAGCTAGCGCCCTGTTAAGTGAATTATACCTACGTCAACTCGTAATTAACTCACTAATCATGAACCTTCTATAAGATATCAAAGAAGTTCCAGAGTCGAAAGATTTTATATTGCTTGTAAGTTTGAAAAATTTTTGTTTATAAATCATTGTTTGTAATAACTACTTGTAATGAGTGTTACTGCAAGTTGTATTGTTGTGTGTATATTAAAACATATTTGTGTTAAAAAAATCAACCAGTGTGTGTATCAATCTTGTTGGCAAATATCATAAACTAACTATAAATTGGCTTTTACTTAACTGTTGAATCCAAAGTACAATTTAACTATTATATTTAAAGTATCATTTAACTCTCAAAATTCTAATATGTAACACTGGTAAAATAATTAATATTGGGTAACTATGCACCAGTGATTTTTTTCCCAGCAGAAAGGTTGAATATGTAAATACAATAACACTAGTAAGCTATTGTAAGTTTTCCCTTCCACATACATCACCATGAAATCTTCCTAATTTAAGCACAGAAAACTAATCATCACTTACTAAAATCAACATGCCTCCCGATTCTTCAACGTTTTCTGTCTTGTTATATAATTCTTCAGCTTTTTCTACTCCTAGGATTTTAACCACTCGAACTAATGAAATAAATTATAGATGGCTAAAAACATTGGTTCTCATAAATAATCAAAACAAAATGTTTTTAGGTAAACTAATAAATGTTGAAATTTATCAAGCAGTATTTATATCATAAAAGAAATAAATTTTTTGTTTAAAAGTAAAAACTAATTCTTTCATAATCCAGTGAAAAAATAAATGAGCTAATTACAAATATTATTGGGGTAGTTTACCTTTAAGTTTTGCATGTACATGTTCAAGTACAAATTTATTGTTTTAATTCATTCTTCAGAAATCAATAATCACTGATTGGGATTGTATAAAGTAGTGAGGAAGAAAGGTTGAAGTGATTTAAGATATAGTTCTCTGTACCAAGTAGTCAAGAAGACAACCAGAGGGGATGTCATTTTATATATTTTCTATTTTATGCTGCATGTTGAAATAAAAAAATTGAATTTTAATTCTCAATTTTTCCAAAAGTCAGTTTTGAGGCCATGAGAAAAGATTTATCATAAGTGAAATAGAATTATTGTTTAAAAGGTTATGTACGACAGATATCAGATATCATAATAAAATAAAATTACTTTGAATTTCCTAAGATGGGTATTTCCTAAAAAGAAAAAAAAGGATAACAAGGAGGATAAAATCTAAGTGGCTTCCTAAAGACATGAAGGAGAAAATCAAATTTGAGGATTTTAAATTCATAGATAGAACAGATGATTTACTTAACTACAATAAATCTAAGGATCTTACTAAAATGAAAAATTTTGAAAGTAAAAAGTGTTTATGAAAAACAACTGGCTGATAATGTTACAATTTACAAAACAGATTTTTTTTTTGTACGATAAACGTAAGCAAAATGTTCAAATGGAGATTATGATTCCTAAGAATGATGATGATGGTAATGTTATTGTAGAAGACTGAAATGTTTAAGCTTTTAATGGTTTTTTCTTTTCTTACATTTTCACATAATATTCCAAATAAAACCAAACCAATGACCTATATAATGAAGTTATATCCCCTTTAAACATACATTAAATATTTTTCTACACACAGCCTAAACCCTATTTGCCCTACTACTAGTAGCAACAGCACACTGTTTGAATCACTTAAGAGACTAATCAACCAAAACAACAAGATCCTTTTCTTCCATAACACTGTTAAAATTATTCTCATCAAAATTACATTTATAATTTAAAGTACAATAACCCACAAGCATTATCTTGCATTTATTATAACTAAAATATATCTGCAATATACTTGCCCATTTCACCAAATAATCCAAGACCTTGTGTAAAGCAGTAGCAGCATCCAAGACCTCAATATCATTAACAAATTTAAGTAATTTATTGAACATTCCTTCAACAATGTCACTGATGTAAATTAAAAAGGGGTGCCTTTTATGTGACACCTTGTAAAAAATTCAGATTTGAAATTTGAATTCCACACTCATAAAGTACTAACTGTCCTAAATTGATAAAGAATTTTGTTACAAAAGGATGTGAACTATCAGATTCAAAGTCCAGCACACTAATTACTAGGCCATACCCTGCTCATGAGAGATAATGTTAATGATATTTTGGCCCATTAGCATTCTACAAGAAATAATGGAATTGACCTTAGTCATGAAAATATGAATTCACTGATCGAAAGAAACATTTTTTTGGATATATTAATAATAAAGCACAAAGACAAGACAGTTTTTTTCCCCAGGGGTTTAAAAGAGGTCAAAGGTCAAATATGCAAGCCTCTCCTTTTAATCTCTGGTGGGTCAATAGGCAGTGGTTAGGTGTCCAAGGTTTGCTAGTGTTATACTTTTTTTTAAAGGGGATGATAAGAGTTTTTTTGAAACTATAAGCCAGTTAGTCTTATTTCTGTAATGGGAAAAATTCTAGTATGTGATAAAAGAAGCCTTGCAAAATCTTAAGGAAATATGATATCATACAAGAGAACCAACATGAATTCACTAAAGGGAAATATTTCTTTTAATTATTAAATATTTCACACAATGTTACCATATTATCTGGATAATTGAAAAATGAGTGAACTTGGTGTACTTAGTCTAGTCTTTTAAAAAACTTTTGATAAGGTGCTACTCAAAAGATAAATTAAAATTATTTAAAAAAAAAGCAACTGTGGGGGTGGTGGTGGTGAAAGGCTAGTTAATTTGGTTGCAGACTGGCTGGTTGAGCAAAAAGTTTATTAATGGAGTGCAGTCAAACTGGACCTTTGTTATTAAACATCTTCAAAGGTCAATGCTTGGGCTTTGTATTTTCTTATTAACATTAAAAATTTTCAAAGGAGTATTGTTTGTAAATTAGTAAACTCTTGGATATTTCTAGTTGTACTGATCAATTGGTAAGTTGGATAAATAGTTACCAAGTTATCTTTAATCACAATACGTACAATGTAATGCATTTGGGTTATCATACTCACAACTTTAGTGTATATAGGAATCTACTTAATGTTGTGACAGAAAAGAAGCATCTTGGCATAACAGTAGAAAAGACACTCATGCCACTGAGACAGTGCTCTATTAATAGTAGTAAAGCTATTAACAATTTTAGGATGTATTTATAGGATACTGATTAAGAGTGAAAAAATAATTATTTCTCTATGCAGATCACTAATTACACCTCATTGGGATACTATGCAAGACTTTGGTCTATTTATCAAAAAAAGGATACTGACTTGTTGAAAAGAGTTCAGAGGCAGACTATTAGGATGACTCTGTGAATAAAAGGATTATTTTATGGCAATAGATTAAGACTTTTAAATTTCTTTTCTTTTCAGAAAAGAGGGGTAAGAAGTATTATACTTATGTTCAAAACATAATCTGGGAAGTTAATGTTATATGCTGTACTCTAAAAGACAGAAGGATGAGAGGATATAACTTTTAGGATTTTTAAAAGACAAGTTAATAATTAAGGTTGATTAGCTTATTGAATAAGTTGCAATTATCAATAGTGAAAGCCAGCATTTTTCACACTAATAATTAAATTAACCTTTTCTTTTTTCATCAGTTTTTTTACTAACAAAAGGAACATTTATATTGAAATAATTTAATCCAATTAAATATGCATCTTGCAAGTTCATACAATATTTGCTTTTAGTTTATTTCTATAAAAAAGTGTGTACTATATTGTATTTATATGTATGTAAAATTCCTAGGTTTTCATAAACGACGAAGAGATTATAGGCTATTTCAATTATGGATTTTTTTAACACCCATTACTGGTTGGAGATGTGATGAATTTAAATGCATGTCCAAATCAATCTATGGAATAACTTCATGTAAAGTTTAGAAAGGTGATCAGGAATTTTTTGAATTCTTATATGCCATTTCTGTATTTAACATCTTCAAAATAAATAAAAAACTTTTAAACCAAAAATAAATTATTACCAATTAAATCATGTTTGGTTTCATTCAGTTTCCTAGCAATGTCCATGCCAATTCTTTGATTTATTTTATCAGCACTTGAGGTAATCAAATCCTTGGATATTGATGGACCTAAGCACTCTTTAACATTGCTTTTTTCTTTTGATTGTTCCTTCTCAATGTCATATTGTTCTAAACTGTCAGTAAACATATCTATTTCTTCTGGATCAGGCCGTAGATCCAGCTCTCTCCGTGTGAAATCATAAGTCTCGCAAGCTCTATCCCATCCATTCAGGTCTTTGTGTTCAATATCGCAATGGCCTAAGTTTTCTGTTAAACTCTGTTCTTGTAAAATACCAGCCCAGATGGTATTTGGCTTTCTTTTTCGAGATAACCGGTCTTCAGTAAGGACACAAAACTCTTCTTGTAAAGGATGAGTAGGTATACGTGAAGGAACTGCTTCCATACTAGGTTCATTACCAGATTTGGACTTCCGAGAGATAGCCCTTCTTTTCCATGATAAATTATCATCATCCTCATCAGATTCACTAGAACTGGAAGAAAGCTTACTTTTTGTTTCTCTATAGGTGATGTCCTTATGTTGTTCATAGTTTGTTGATATATCCATGGTAGATGACTTCAAGAATATGGTACAAATGTCTCATACAGAAACCTAGACAAATAGAATTATTTTATGAGTTTTATTTATTCTGTGCTAATTTTTCAAACAAATATTATAAATTTTTATAGTGAACCTTTTTGATTTTATTATTAACTTTATTTATTTTAATCACATATGGGATAATACTGTATTATAAAATAATTTTGTTTTGCATTGTTGAAGTTTTATGAGATCAAGATTAATTTAACAAAAGCTACACTTTTCTGTGCTTTTGCAAGTTCTTGTAAAAAGCTAGTTCAGTTAATATAAATATTTAGTTATCAACTAAAAGTGAGTGTAAAATAAATGACATTTACAATGTACATTTATCATTACATATGATATATTAAATGCATATATGAAAAAGTATGGAATACTTCATTGTGAAATAATAAAATTAACCACATAATAGCTACTACACAAAAATACTCAAATTATTCTGAGTGAATACAAGTAATAAAATAACTTAAAATATAAGATTAATATTCACTGAACATAAACACAAAGATAGACCATTATTGTATCCTATAATTTTACTTGATACCAAAACTGAAACTACTTCATATAATACTTGTAATTGCTTTAGCATATCAAATCATATGCTTAAGGTTATACTAATAAGCTAGAGATAAAACCACTTCCTGCCTGAACAAGCCAAAAGAAAAACTGATGAGACAAGATATTCAAGATAACACCAATACCTTTTGGAAGAAATTTAAAAAAAATATATTTTTTATATACAGGCAAGATTAAAGATGTAGATCAAATTAAACCATTCAGAGGTTGATAATAATGCATCATTTGGTTTCTAATTGATGTTGAATATATTTTACTGATTTTGAGTAATCTCATCTTTCATCAAGGAAGGTTTTTTTTTTTTTTTTATCTTAGAAATATTAGTGTCAAACACTTGAAAACATTCTTGACCAGGACTTGGTTCAAGGTCATTATTTCAAACCATTTTCAGTAAGACAAGTCAAACCTTTTATGTACAAATATTGGATCAGAGATAATATTCAAATTAGTTAGGATACAAGAAAACCCAGGAAATAATGTTCTTAAATTCCATTCTACTGGACAGTTATTAACATTTTTTAAATAATATTTTAATTTTTTCTAGAAACTTTTAACATCTTTCAGTTATACTTGACAGTATAAAACTGTACGATACATTCATAGATTAGGAGTTTTTTAAGGCCCTCCATTGACGACATCAAATATAAAACAAAAATACTTCTTCATAAAAGTTTGGAACAATATTTACATAAAGACTAATAAAAATCTCATGCTATAAAATATTTCCCAGGTTAATAAAAAAAGGGATTTGTTGTGTTTGTTAGTATTCAGATAATGCTGAATGCTAGGAATGAAAACAAATGCTTCAGTCAGAAAATTTGTCATTTTTTGCTAAGGTAACAACACAAATCTTTGTTGTAAATTTAATTCAAAATTTTAACTTGTAAAACTAATTTTGAGATTTCTTAAAAATCTCTACTAAGACACTAACTTAAAATGCTAACAGTAACACTCATTCTTTTCAACACATATTACCAGAGTAAAAATCTCAAGCTTTCACATCCAACATCAGTTAGGATAAGCCTCACAAGTATAAGAGAGAGATAACTAAATTCTATTTTAAGAGTTAAGTTTCTAGTTACATTACTAGTTAGTAGCAGTATTAAAATGCTTCAGTAAGTTGTTAGAATTAGCAATTAGTTGTCTGTAATGAATAGTATCAGCATTAATAAATAAGGGGAGTTTAGTATACAAATTTATCTACAACTTAATTTATATATATACTGTGAATCAGATTATTTTAGCTAAATTGGTGACACAGAATAAACACTAGCAAAATTTTAATAGAGTTAAAGGCAGTTCAGGGATAAGGAAATAGAGTTCATAAGGTGTGTTAGGTTCCAGGACTGGATTATGTTTGAGAATTGTAGACTTTACTTAGATTTTCAGGATATTCAGAAATATACAGTACATTTCACTTGTAGAGCTTGCTCATTTAAGGTTAAGTTCTGTTACGACACCGGAAGTCACGTGATGCTGGGAGCATGCTCGCTGGAGTTTCTAGAAGGATCGTGACTTAGCGGGCAACCTCACAAATGTCCTAGCATTTGCTAGACGCCTTCTTTTATTAGTATATAAGCCGGAGATAGATTGAATTGAGATAAGCACTGTAAATAAAGTGTGTGAATCGCTTTGAATTATAGTGTGTGTTTATAAAAGTAGTTAAGTTTAAAATGACTGTGGAAATTAAGTGTATTACAGTGTTGCATCAGCGAGGTCACGTGACTAGTATCACGCCACTCCTTCTCTCGAACCTTCGTGAATTATCAGGAGACTACTAGATATGTGTTAGTCTTGTATACATAAGACGTTGACAACGTGACGGGACAACAGAGGTAATGAGTAATTGAATGTATGCGGACAAAATATTGTTGGCCATGTGAGATATAGCGTTGTTATAGAGCGACTGTTGAAATTAAGTGTATCGTAAAGTTATATTCAGAAAGAATAAACCAGTTTTACTTAAGAAAGGACTTGTGTCGCTAAAGTTGCGTCGGAACGAATTTACAGATAATCAACTAACGACTGGAGGCGTAACAACAGTTTGTATCCAGAAAGAATAAACTAGTTTTAATTAAGAAAGGACTTGTATCACTGAAGTTTCTTGGAAAGAATTTTTACGGGAAATTACCAAACAAGCAGATACATAACAAATTGGTGTCAGAGAGTGGGACAGAAAAGGGAAAAAAAAAGATGGAAACGAGAAGTGGCAAATCAAACTACAGCTTAGCAGATTTGATGGCAGCAATACAAGAGCACCAACAGAAAAAAGAGAGACAGCAGCAGTGGCAAGAAAACCTGCAACAGTGGCAGCTCGAACAGCAAAATAAACAAGAGAGACTACAGCAGTTGTTGGAGGAAAAAGAAAAGAGGCTACAGCAATGGTTGGAGGAAAAAGAAAATAAACAAGGAGACAACAGCAGTGGTTGGAGGAGAAAGAAAATAAACAAGAAGAACGAGAAAAGAAACAAGAAGAAAGTCTCCAACAATGAGAGAAAGCCAGCATACACAAATGCAAAAGATTAGTAAATTTCAAAGTGAATTAAATACATTAAAAGATGATTTACCATGGACCTAATCAGCCCCAGACAACAGAAAGCCCCTTCCAGACCATGCAGCTAAACCCAAATGCAGACATCTTCACTCCTGCCAGAAGTCACATTCCAGACACAAATGTCAGCAATATGGGTGATCTAGTATGAAGGAAGCCACAGGAATTCAATGGGAAGCATATAGAGCACAATTTGAGCTACTGGAAGAAATGAATGGATGGACAGAGGAGCAGAAAGCAGTGTACCTCGCAACGAGGCTGAAGGGACAACCACTGGAAACAGTTGGAAAGTTGTCAGCAGATGACAGGCACAACTATAGAGCACTGGTAGCTGCTCTAGAACTCAGGTATGGAACTCAAAATCAGTCTGAAGTCTACAGGGCTAGGTGTAGGACGAGAGTCCGCACTAAAGGGGAGAGCCTGCAAGATCTGGCACAGGATTTGGAAAGTATGGCACACAAGACCTACCCAACTGCGCCACCTCATG